CGCCGACGGATCAGCCGCTTAGAAAAGACTGGCTTTCATTCAGAGAACCTCGTCGGCCGAGTTAGAAAGTATCCCTCTCGTGCGTGCAGGCACGTCTCGTATCAGCATGCGTGCACCGTATTTGGGTCTTGTTTTCACTACCGTGTGGACAGCAGACGGCCGGGCGTACACGCACGATTCCCTTTATTTTCCCCCCTTTATTTTGCGCTCCCTGAGTTAGATAACAGGCTTCACGGTAGAATAAACGAGAATCCGGGCTCTCGAGGAAAGGTATTGCCAGCCACAACACCCCCCCTTCCTTTCCTTGCGTGCGAAAATGGAGCGAGTTCCCTCCCCTCTCTCTCTCTCTTTTCATAAGTTTGCACGCAAGGTGCGCAACCTCGCCCAAAATGTCAGTGGCAAAGTTTAAATGAACCTGAGCTTGCTTAGCATCAGCAACAGCCTGTGGTTTCGTAATTGTGCAACGCCCCCTCTCCCGTTCTCCAAACGAAAACGAGTTTTGCGCTTTGCATGTTATTAATATATCTGGAGTAACGAAAGCGTCGAGTCGATAAGAATCATCGGGCGTTTGGCAAACATGGATATGTGGGACGTGCGAAATCTTTGAATATGCTATTTGTGATATCGGACGGATTCCTCGCACGTCGATTTCGCGAGGACATTTTCGATATTTTAATGAATGGAAACTTTCATCAGGGCAGAAATCGAATATTTTAGATTTATTAAACTACGATAAATTTATCGTAGATAATTCGCGCGGAGATGATTGCAGCCTAGAAAATTCGTAAAAGTAAGAACAAGAAATTTATTTCTACATCGATACGCGTATTGATGTTTGGACAAAATACTTAAGAAAAAGGAGCTTTAGAGATATGGAGAAACGAGTTATATAGAGACTATTAAACGCGCATCGGTGAAACTTATGGTTATCTGCGACTCGATAAAGAACAATTAGAATATGTGAAATCCTGGGAATAATAAAAATAACTAATGCAATCTACTTTCGATAAAATTCAAAGTGAGTCTGTAGAAAGTGGCTCTATTGGCTCATTTTATTTCTCATGTTATAGATGAGCTAGAAGCGCTGACATTAAAAAGCAACGAGAAGCTAAAGAGAAATCATCAACTCGACAGAGTGTCACACACTTCCTCTCGTCACTTTAATTATTATAAATAACTTCTTCTTGCTCTCCCCGACTAAATAGCAGTGAAAAAATTGTTCTACTATACTATACATCAATCATCTAAGAAAATCCATTTTTTACCGTCTGTTATCGCGATAAAATGTACTTATGTACGTTGTCGTTAAGTCACAGTGACGCTTTCTCCATTGAAACGGAATGGCCCGCGTCGTTCGTGCAATTATAACGCAATTGTATAATAATAAATTAAAATACAAAACACAGAGCCCCGCGTCGCTCTGTAACGGCGCGCGATTGCGATCTAAGAATTCACGCAGGCAACTCGGTCGGGGAGCAGGAGCTCGGATTGAACGAAGGACGATCGAAAGGAGAGCGGTTGCAGCTTCGTTGCCTAAGCCAGCACGCTCCTTGGGCCCTGTTACACTACGACGTCGAACGGACACTTCCTCGCCGTGTCCCGGTCGTGAAAGTATACAGTCGCTCTCGTATACACGGGGAAGTGCACGCTAAACTGACCATGTAAGAGTTTTCGAATTACGCAGCCGGCAGGCCGATTACGCCTGCCGATATACGCGTATGCCTAACGTGTTTGACGTCGAGTGTGAAAACGCTCGGCCGGATTGGTCCTCGAAAAGGGAAGGCTCCGCTTGAATAATCACGTTAACGCGCGAGAGAAACGCGCTCTCCTCGAAATATTTCCTCTCCGCGCGATTAGAATCTCTCTCTCGCTCCTGGTCTGGTAAACGAAACGCGAAAAATCCAGGCCCCTGGGTAGCCTTTACTGGGCTATGCTCACGACGCGTGGAGAATTGCGCGAGACATTTGGAGAAGTTACCGAGTTACATAAGTACACGCATAATAATCTCGTAACGCTCTCATAGCATTGTCTCTATTCATTATCTCATCAGTGCGGAAAATTAAACCCATTTCAAAATGTCTTGTTCGCGCGTTCGCGTCGGGTGAAATGATTGGGCACTTTGATATTTCTCTCGAACTTTGAGAATTTCTCGAATCTTACCACTGATCTTCTCATAGAAAAAAAAAAAAAAAAAATATATCCCGAAAGAAAACGCTGAGAGATGTCGATTACGTCATAGAAATTGGTGTTGCAATGTTTTGATAATTAAGAAATAATATAGATATAAATTAATAATAAATTAACAAGTACTCTCGCTCTCTTCTCTACAGAGAGAAAATTTATCATGGATTGATAATTTCGTAGAATTCAACGGCAAGTCGAGTGGAAACGTAACAAAGGGTATTGCGCGAATGAATTCGCGGTCGCGCTCCGTTTATCCGTTGAAAGTAAGTTGAATCAAGGATCTTTGTCCGCGCGAGTCATTAATCCCATTCCCGAGTAATGCGAACTGATTATCTATTACCGCGATTTCATTATACTTGCGTGTATACACACACACACACACACACACACACACACACACACACACACACACACATCTCATCCATGGTAGCGATAATGTCGGGCGTTAAGCATAAAATATAGTCCGTTTCGAGTCTCAAAGGCTGCGGTGTATCCCGATGGAATCTCTCCCGCATAAGGCACGAGCTGATCCCGATTGTGGTCGCAAAAATGTCCCCTTGTACGACATTTTGATGTACACACGCGCAAATATAAAACACGAAAATATCCCTTTGCAAAACTCGATCGATAATTAAAGCACTAAAGATTAAATTGGCGATGAATCCTCGCGCGGACAGCCGGGATTAAAAGGAGAGGAGGGCGAGTGCGCGGTTTATTTCATCCACGCTTGTAAACTTCGCGATTCTCGCGTGCGTTGCTTTTATTCGATATTTACGCGGCCGAATTTCGCGGCCGTCCGTCGTTCCGGAGCTCGGCTCGATAGCGATCGTCGATGCGCGTTCCCGATTAATCGCGCGCACGAGGTAGCAATCATCGTGCGGCACAGATGTAATTAGCATTTTACGAAGGTGGATTTTTCTCCGACTGCCGCCGTCGCCGCCGCGCGACCTTAAAAGCCCACGATAAAATAACAGTAATTCATCGCGTATCGTCGGCGCGACAATAGGAGAATCTTGCAACTCGTAGGGCGGAATATTTACGCTCCCTACTATTTTATCGTGGAAATTACCTCAGCCAATTATTCCGCTCGCGTTCGTGGAACTATTAATCCATTATGCCATATATATATAGAGGTATATATATATATATATATATATATATATATGCACGCGCGCACTCTCTCTCAGGTCGGTTTTATATTACCGTTTATTAACGTTGTATTTTATTCCTCGTTCGTTTCGTTGCGCCGGCCAATCTCCGACGGACACGGGAAATTACTAATCCAATTTATCCTTTAATCAGATTTGCCTTTCTCGATGGGAGCCGCGCATCTCGCAATCATCACTTTACTGCGCATCGCTGCATTTTCTTCTTTACGGCTCATTCTTACGTTCTTCGCTCTAAGCGATATGCCTCGGGGTCGTGCGCGATCGATTCGCGGCGATGCATCAACTGGAGCCGAGAAGGCAAGAGAGAGA